GCTCCCAAGGCAGGGTGCTAGTCAGTGGCTTCATCTCAAATCGCTTCAAAGTATCAAAATCACTAAGACAGGGTTGTCCGTTAGCCCCCTTGTGACGAACTATTTTCTGTAACCGCGCGACTTTCGACACGAAGCTGCTTCACGGGTTCGGACGAGTTGGTCGGGCGGGGAACATGGGGTTGGGTCGATCGAGCAAGTTCCATGGATGCCCTCGCTGCTTTCTTTTTTGGACCTTCGACCAGGGCCGGAAAAGTCCCGCGCAGACAATGAGTGGGCACGGGAGCATAACTGTTGTCATAGCTTCTTTCTTGTTCTGTTGTGGGAATTGGAAATTCTCGGCGCCATCGTCGTGCGAACATCGTTTTCAAATTTTCGAACTGATGTCGAGCCCCCGCGGGCTCTCGGAATTGTTTTCCCTTCGAATTTTTTTTTTTGTAAACTAGGATTTAGATAGGAATTTAGGTACCTTAAAAATTTCTGCTGCACCGCGCTTCTTGCTTGCGCACCTCTCACCGCAGTAGGGATTGGGCTCTGACTGTATCGCGCCCTTAATCCTGCATGTAACTGTATTTTTTGGCGGGCGAAATTGTAACTGTACTCCTTGATTCTCTCGTGTTTTCTCGCCTTCTCCCTCTCTATCCCGCATACCTCATCCTCCATTCCAATTGGCCTAAGCGACTGCATGAGCACATCGATGCGTGGAGTGTGTTTGCATCCCGCCGTCCCCCACGCCGCGGCTTGGCCATGCAGGCATAGGCACTTCCTTCTCTTCCCCTACCTCTCACTTAGGCATAATCCCGGGTTTATCACGCAAGCATGCATGCTATATATTTCGCAAGCGCGATCAGTTTGCTCTCTATGAACTTGGAAGTTAGTGCAGTCAGTGAGGATCGGCTAACGAGTAAGCTCGGAAGGTGAGTAGACGAGGGAGTGGGCGATCCGACGAGCTGGTGCCGAGTATGAGGGGTTTACGTGCGATCTTTGCCGGTTATACGCACTTGTAACAACGTATGTATGGATGTTTCGAAGGGAAAGTAGATGAGCATGTTAGGTGTATGGATGTATTCCCTTAGGCACGCCCAACCGAACTCATTCTCGGGAGAATGACCCACAGGCCTTGTGCACGCACGTGGAAGCTCGACTCCCAAGGCCGCCGCTTACACACGTGTCTGCAAGACCTACCTGCGACCCGCCTCCCATAACAGAGGATCTGCTAGATAGGCAGTATAAATGTTGAAACTCCTTTTCTTGTTACTGATCGCGAGTGTTTGAGAGACCGGGAATTCCGAGAATATTGGGAGCGCACGCACTTCTCCACATGCCCCAAAGTCAAACTCCCGGAATTCCCCTATCAAATGGGCCGCGAGCGCATTTGTCAGTGGGACATCGGGCGAGCCTTAAACAACATTCCCTACCCTTTCTGTCGTTCTGGCCCGCCCACGTGTCAAATTATCACGGAACTTTACGTCGTCATCACGAAACGGAATATCCCCCCTATTACGTCACGTTACCTTTCCACAGCCTAACCATCGCCCCTTGGCGTGCGATTGATCCTTATTGGCTTGACCCACCTTGTTCCGAGTGCTAGCAGGACCGCGCCTATCGAGCCGCGTTCACCCGATGAACCCTCTCCAAAACCGAGCGGCGGGCACATAGTCTTCGTCTGAGGCCTGCCACGTCAGATTCTGGAACCTGTGACGTTCGTCGGCAACAATTATTGAGACAACGCGACAGCCACAGCGTCCCGCTGGTACACCAAATTCAGGACCGACCCCATCGACGGAACCAGCGGAGGTGGTGACCCTAATCTACGTATCACCAGACCCAGGCACGATCCGCGACCACCTCGCTGCAGTTTTGTCCCTGAAGCTTGTCACCGAAGATCCCAGTTCCGACCTGGGACTGCACCCCCACTTTCCTAAAATCCTTGGCACACTCCTTTTTCGCACTTCAAGGCCCCCATTTCACTCCGATCAGGAACTTCAAGTCGCGCTGGGCGTGAGGTTCATATCGGAGCCGACACATGGCGAACTCACAGAGTAGCGAGTAGGTAAGTCACACAAGCGACCTGGCAAACAGAGGGCGGCCTAGACAACGGAACGCGCCACGACGCGAGCCTATAGTAATTAGGAGCAGATCGGTCGTTCGACAAACCGCCAATATGAACGTCAATCAAGCGCAAAGGGTTAACTAGGCGAGGCACCTATTCCCGCGCCACCAATCTGAGTTCGTACACCTGCGGCTCCACCCGATTTGTACCTCTTTGACCCTGCACATCATCTGGTCTGTGCATGGCTGGCCACACTGCGTGCACAACAGCACGACAACGATGAAGCCTGGATCGATATCCCCGCCATATTGGGAGGGGATGCACACCACTGGTTCAACACTTACGCCTGGATAGATCTCCCGACCTTCGAGAGGGACTTCTTGAACAGATTCGACTACATCCATCCTGCACATGGCTTCTTTATTATCAAAGATCGGATTCAGAAGCCCCTCGTCTGTCACAGAATATCGTAGTAGGTTTTACACACTGTTTGTCAAATCTAAGAGGGACGAGAAGGTCGGAAGAGATTTGTTCAACGATGGGTTTCTCAGCCGGGCAATGAGGGTGAAACTACGAAAGCAGTTTTCCCCCATCAATCACACTATGCAACAGATTATGGATCGGGCGAAAGAGATGGAGAGGAAGTTTGTCGCTAGCTTCCTAGAAGGGGAGGACCACGCTAAGGAAGGGCCTCGGAATTGGCCAGGGCGAAAGTCGAGCTGGCCGCACTTCAAAACAAATTTGAGAACATGGGTTTCGTCTCCGCCCCCGTCACTTACTTAGAACAGGTTGTAGCTAAGAGACTGATACCTGACACAACCACAGGACGGCCCGTAATGGTTGCACCTTCGCCTCCCCCAAATCCCCTTGTAAAGCCAAGCGAATGAAACGCGATACAGGAACTAACTTGAACGCTGGTTAACTTAATGCAGGAAAGTAAGAAGGAACAACGTGAGCACAATGCTAGGATTGAATCATTAATGAAATCGATGCGTCCCATTGCCGTCAGAGCAGCCCCGACGACGCAAGGAGAAGCCCCCACTCGGGCCATTGGCTGAGCAATGACTAACTTACGCATTTGCTACACGTGTCACCAGCCCAGCCATATAGTCCGAGACTGCCCCCACCGACCCACGCAAGTCCGAGTAGGAGCCGCCCCGGTGGCGGCAGCGCCAGTAGCTAATGGACAAGGGAGGGTGGACATGATGATTGAGGAAATGGAAGGTGGAGGAATTGCGGTAGCCACTATTGAGTAGTCGGGGAACTTATTCCACTTGACCAATACATCACATTGGGTTATCCGGGGTTGGGAATGATCGAACCATCCGGCTCTCAAACGAACAACGAGGGATAGCTGAATGGAGACCTTCTCCAGGAGAAATGGAGTCAGGTGGTCCTACCTTCGTCACTGGGGAGATCGATGTTTTGGATATCACCCGAGCTCTGGATCACCGGATTTCGTTGTCCACCGGGCACCTATTGTCCATATCGGAACAAGCCAACGAACGCATGTTGCAGCATTGCAAGGCAAACCAAAAACGATTTGCTCTCGCCAAGCCAGCTGCTCAAAAAGGAAACTGATCACGAGTGTTTGAGAGACCGGGAATTCCGAGAATATTGGGAGCGCACACACTTCTCCATATGCCCCAAAGCCAAACTCCCAAAATTACCCTATCAAATGGCCCGTGAGCGTGTTTGTCAAATTGTCAGTGGGACATTGGGCGAACCTTAAACGACATTCCCTACCCTTTCTGTCGTTCTGGCCTGCCCACATGTCAGATTATCAGGGAACCCGGCGTCGTCATCATCGAAACGGAATATCCCCCCTATTACGTCACGTTACCTTTCCACAGCCTAATGATCGCCCCCTGGCGCGCGATTGCTCCTTGTTGGCAATTGTTCCGAGTGCCAGCAGGACCGCGCCTACCGGGCCGCAGGGTTCACCCGACGAACCCTCTCCGAAACCGAGTGGCGGGCACAGTCTTCGCCTGAGGCCTGCCACGTCAGATTCCGAAACCTGTGACGTTCGTCGGCAGCAATTATTCAGACAGCGCAACAGCCACAGCGTCCTGCTGGTACACCAAATTCAGGACCGACCCCGACGACGGAACCAGCGGGGGTGGTGACCCTAATCTACGTAGCACCAGACCCAGGCAGATTTAACCTTGGGAGAGGAGGACAGGGCAACCGAGAAGAGGAGTTACAAATGAAGCGAGCGAAGGGATTCTCCAATGAAGCGAGCGAAGGGATTCTCCTTCCATACGGACGGATCAATGGGAGGGGGGGATTGGGATGGCTGGGCAGGCATACTGGCGGCCGAAGAGGGATGGTTTCGGACTTGAAAAGCGTTCGGCGAGTGCGGCGAAGGAAGACATATTTGAGTATTTGAGTTGGATTTCCGTCCAGGAACATTGTGCAAAACTCAGATCAATGGGACCTAAAAGTATAAAAGCCAACGGAAAGCACAGAGATTAACGGTAAGGGGCGAAAACAAAACGAAAGGAAATTTAAAGCGAAACGAGGGAGAGCGGACATGAAGAGACAGCAAAGGGAGCAGCAGAGGGAAACGAAAACAAGGGTGAAAACAGACAGGCGTGTGGGCTTATTTTATGGGGGTTGGAGGGGGCAGTGCGGAGGGGGTACGAGGGACAGGGGAAGGCGGGGGGGGGGGGGGGGGGGGAGAGAGGTAGAGAAGAACAAAAAGCATCAATTTGGTCGATAAGCGACGGGAAGGACTATTCTCTTAAGAAACAATGGAGGACTATTCAGTGTTGCAGACTATAATACAAAATGTACACAAGACGTTATGTGCGGGAGTGAAAGACGCCCGCTGACAACCGAATTCCCGCCGGAATTTTCACCGCGCTCGACGATGAACCCTTGCCTGACCACCACCCTCCCTTCCCAATGATTGAAAGCTTTGGCAAGAGCAAAAAGATCGATGACAGCATCACATCATCACGATTTACTTCAATTCCTGCGGACACATTGATTCATTCACAGTTGTCATCCATCCATCCATCCATCCATCCATGCATCCACGCATCCCACCGTCACGTCGAGCAAGTCTGGCTCTTTCTACATGGTACGACGACCCAATCCATCCACGTGGACCACCCCATCACATCTCCATAATTTCAAAATAATTTGAACTGACGGAAGGAAAAGAAGTATCAGCTAAGCATAAAAACTACCTCAGTCGCTTCTCAATTACCACTACCCCCATAACTCGGGCCGCACTCGGGTAAGGTAATACGGTATATACTTGACTTTGCCATCGTAAACAATCAGGCCCTCCCCTGGAGCGTGCAAGCATGTTGTTTCGAAAATCATTATAATGCACTGATTAGGCTAATCCGGAGGCGCAAGGCGTTAAGGATTCTCGTCGAGTACATACGGTACATGAGTGACAGGCGGGCGGGGGGCAAAAGCGCGCGCAAAAGCGCACCGAAAACAGAAAGTTTGAAGTAGGAGAGCATGGCAACAAAGAGAACGGAATGGAAAACAATGGGGGAAACAGGCATGGATACTGTCACCAATAAATAACAGAGTAACTGTTGCGCAAAATGAATACTGTTCTGTTCATCAGGATTTGAACATTCATGACCCGCATGCGGCCAAGATTTCCGCACTACTAGAGCGAGCACCCACCGAACAAAGAAATCCGGCCGTGTGCACGGATGGGCCGGGGCTTTCCTCACATGGAAGCTCTCCTTCTCCTCCTCCCATAATGAGACGCCCGCCAACCAGAGTCCGTGAAATCGAGGCACACCAACTGCTCAGACCTCGGCTACTGCATGACAACAGCGCCCTGGTCCTATCACAAGATCGAATAAATCATAGAAGGGTTGCTTGATTGCTTGATTGCTCGACTGCTTGATTAATTGATTGATCCGATGAGTACATCGAGCCAAAGATGCAGCCGAAACAGACGCACGTTCACAGAGAAGGAAGCGGTAAACAGCAGGCGAACATCAGGAGGGAGGGCCCAATCGCGATCCGCCCACAGAAAAGCCCACCCACCATCTGGCTACCTGAGGGGACAAAAGGACTCAAAACAAAGGAGAAACAACAAACAGTGATATAGGAAAGGTGCTACAGCGGGAATTGGCTTTCGACAAAGCCCTCAAAAAGCGCAGAATCCCCTTGAGCGCCTGCCGCAAGGAGACACAACGCCAGTGTATATGGCAAAGGTGCTGCAGCGGGAAATCGCTTTCCAAAAAGGCCGCACAAAGCGCAGAATCTCCTCGAGAGCCTGCCGCACAAGAGAGATTCGGCCGCACAAAGCGCAGACCCCCCCCCCCTCCTTGAGAGTCTACCGTACACAAGAGATTAGCCCAAGCCACAGCGCAGCATCCCCGATTGACAACCTGCCGCACAAGAGAGATTAGCCCGCACAAAGCGCAGAACTCCTCCTTGAGGGCCTGCCGCACAACAGAGATTAGACCGCGCAAAGCGCAGAATCCCCCCGTTTTCTCGCCTACCGCACGTAAAAGATTAGGCCGCACAAAGCGCAGACTCCCTACTTGACAACCTGCCGCACACGAGAGATTCACTTATTTCTCCAAGAGATACGCGCCGCACACTACGACGCAATACACAGCATAGCATCTCCTGCCCAAACAGAGGTGATGTACGTCCTATTTCAGACTCCTCATCAGTTGTCTGTAAGAATCGAAGCCTGACGGTACAGTCGGCGAGTGTATACAATCCCAGCTGCCGTGAAGTACACCCTGAACAACGACAGCGCAATGGGCAATCAAGTCCCGGGTTCGTCCGCGTCGTGCTTTAGCTCCCTCTCTCGACAGACAGACACGCCCAAATACCGTAAGCGACAATCCATCCACGATGGATGATCAGGTACTTAGGAAAACAACAGCAGCTGCAAGTGCGACCTAGCACCGCACAACCAAGGACAAAACGAATTCCAAGGTGCACAACGAAAGGCAGGCACAAACAACAGGAGCCGTTTAGAGAGAGCTAGCGCAAAGCGACAATTCATCCTCAGGGAATGAAAAGAGCAGAGTGCGAATTAGCGCCACACAGGACGACGGCGGCGCATCCGTCTTCCAAGAGCTTTTCTCGCCGAGAAGAGCAAAACATAGCCAAGGAAGAAGCGTGTGCACATGACCAACGAAAGCCAAAGAACGCTGCGTCGTCATCACCACCTCCACATGCGCACAATGAATTGCACATGCTGAGCCAGTGAGACAAAACAAACTACAACGAAAAACCTTAACTCCCCCCTCCCCCCACTCTCTCTCTCTCTCTGTCTTTGGTAGCAAAGCTATATTTAGAGTTGTGCCTCCGTTATAGATCAAACCATAGCCTTCAAAAAGGGAACTCACTTCTTCACGCGTCATGGAGTCACATTGACAGCTCGAGAGAGCAATTGAATTATCCACAAATGCATGGGAGAGAAGCAGTCTTTCCCAGCTCCCAATTCTCACTCCCCTTCAAATACCTGGGAGAGTAGTCGTTCTCCCCGCTTCGAATTCTCATCCTCCTCCCTCTGGACCGATCAAAATCCATTCGAAACCGAGGTCGAATTTGTTTGTTTATCACACCACCTAACATCTAAAATCACAATCACCCTAGATGCCATGAAGCTTCAATGGCATCAAACTACCGTACTCTACCCTTTCCTTCCCTCTCCTTACACCCCCCCCCCTCCTCTCTCTCTCTCTCTCTCTCTCTCTCTCTCTCTCACACACACACACACACACACACACAAAGAGGGGCATACGTCTATCACTCTTTCCATCTTTCCCTCCCCCTATGGATCCTTCGCGACACCCGATCACCAGCAGAGCGAGTTCCAATCCTGCCACCGCATCAATTCCGTCCCCACCCATCTCATACCGCCGAGATAGCCTCTTTTGTCTTCCATTTGTTCGAAAAGGAGAGATCCCGTGTGCATCAGATCAGTCTCCATGGCAACTCAGAAGGTAATAACAAGGGTACGACCCGAACGGACAGACGACGAGCATAGAAATGCTATCAATCCTTGCAGTTGCAGGAGGAGAGGATAGGGGAAGATTCACCACGGCTCACAGACGGCAATGGAGGGATAAAAGCCCGTGTGAGGCTAAGTAGCCCGTGACAGGGAGAGAGAGAGAGATCAAAACAGAGGAATGAATCCGGGGGGCCAAATGAGAAGAAGAGAGAACGGAGGAAGGCAAAGCAAAGAGCTGAGACAAGCCGAGAGAAGACTCGACCGCGCAACAAAGATTTCCCTACAACCCAATGACCTGAACACTCTCAACTGTGTCCAGTCGATTATCGCTCGCCTCCCAGTTGGAATCGCCGGACAGCCATACTGTGCTCCACAGAGCCGTATTGTCTGCGACTTCTACAACCCCCTCCTCCCCATCCTCTGCCCCTCCTCCGCCGTTCCTTCTTGTCTCCATCGCTTTCCTTACATCGATTATGGTCAACGTCGGCCCTCGTCCTGCCGCCACGATCTTCCCATCAAAGCCAGCCAATTTGAACGGTGGCTTTTGCTTCTTGGAATAACACGACAGAAAGAGCCGATCGATGCCAGGCGCCTGGATCCAACACTTCATCTCCGGCTCGAAAACTTTGAGGCAGTACATCTCGTACTGATTGGTGACGTACACGCGGCCATCAGCGACAGCAGTGGCGCCGCGCCAGCCTTTGACGATCGCCGAGTCCTTCACGTCAAGCCAAGTGCGCGTAGCCGTGTCATAGACAATGACCCGGACGGGCCCAGGCCCACAGGAAGGGGGGCACTTGTCCCGCACGTAGAAACAGCCCCGAAGGCCCAACCCGTGACACCAAGCCATAGGCTTCGCCATCGGCTCAATTGCCTGCCATGAATCCTCCAGAGGATTATAAACCTCTGCAGAATTGAGCATCTTCCCGTCGGCGCCGAAACCCCCGGCGACAAAGAGGGAGCCGTTCACAACGGCGCTAGCAAAGTGAGCGCGCGGATTGAGCATGCGCGCGCCCATCGACCATTCCAGTGTGCGGGGATCGAACTTCCATAAACCCTCCACCTCCTTTTTGGCCATGCCCTCCTTCCCGCCGAAGACGAAAAGCATGTTGTGCAGGACGGCGGCGCGCAGCCCGAGCGCTGACCGGTAGGTCTCCGGCATGTCTGGAAGCTTGTGCCAGCGAACACAACGGGGATCGTAAGCCTGCCACGTGTTCTTCGGCTCGTTTCTCTCATAGGTGAGAACGTAAATCCAATACTCCGTGAGTCGGTTTCGCGCCCTGTGGCTGTAAAAGTCGTCTCCCCTCAGCAAAGAGCGCCAGCCTCTGCTTACACATTTCATCTGAAAATGGTATTCTCTGGGAACACGGACGAGACACTCCAGAGCAAGATCATTATTCAGCCCAGGTATCAAGCATTGCTCCTGATGCTGCCTCTGCGGCGTAACCCCACTCGCACTCCCTCCTCGGCCGCCGTATGCTTGTACATCTCCAGCATCCATAGTCGGTTCCGCGGCGATCCGAAGCTTCCGTGTGGCTCTCTCGTCTCCCATCGTAGCGTACCGAACCCTTTAGTCGATCAGTCTTACAAAGCAAAAGCGCTCCCTGGCTGCGCTACCGCCGCTCTCCTCCACAAGCTCAGAATTCAATCCAGCTGCTCACGATTCAATCTAGATGAATCCTGCCGCTCACTGAGGAGTAAAGCGAGCAAAACCGGAGAAAGAAAACGGTCCACCGTAAAACGTACCTCTCTCTCTCTCTCTCTCTCTCTCTCTCTCTCTCTCTGTGTGTGTGTCTGTGTGTGTGCGTGTGTGTGTGTGTGTGTGTGGCTGCGCAGCACCGAGAGATCACACAGTAGGTAATTGATTCGTCTACGATGGAGACATTGAAAAGAATAGCAGCCGTTGAATTGTGTGTGTGTGTGTGTGTACGTGTGTTTTGAGAACAACCCGACTACACGGCCGCAGAAAATGACGTGTCACGTCGTTTCTCACTCGGGTGCCAAAATTTTTCGGTATTCGTACCGACGGTTGAGTGATACAGTAACGACTTGCGGTTTCTCGATTGGTACACGTGATTAATAAGCTTGATCGAATGCTTGCCCTCTCCTTTCAATCAACTACAACTGCCCCCACTCCCCCATCTACAGAAGATCCGCGACCAGGCAGTAAGAGCATCGATTCAACGTCTATATTCCTCACAAGCGGACAGACTCCCCTTGCGCCTCTCTCTCTCTCTCTCTCTCTCTCTCTCTCTCTCTCTCTCTCTCTCTCTCTCTCTCTCTCTCTCTCTCTCTCTCCGTGTGTGTGTGTGGGTGTGTGTGTGTGCTTGCGCCGTGTGTGCTTTTGTGTATGCGTTTGTATGTGCGTCTCTGCGTACGTGTGAGCGTAGGCGTAGGCGTGGCCGTGGGTGTGGAAGAGCTAATTGCAGGGAGATAGGCACACGAGCAGAGACGCATCGATGCAGTACAACAGACATCTGAGCAATGGTAGATGTTGTCGTTAGATAGAGGTTGACAGTCATGTACCAGAGATACACCCAGTTTCAATCAGCGCGTGCCAGGCCGAGGGTCACTTGCGGATTGAGAGTGCGTTGAGAGAGTGCGTTGAGAGTGCGTCAAGGGAGAGCACATAGGAGGAGATAGACGGAGCGCGAAGATTGGAGGGTGGACCGAATGTCCGTCGCTTGGCCATTGTCGGCCATTTGCTTCGCGCGGCCGGTGAAGGAAACGTGAAGGAATAGGCAACAGCCCACCGTCGCCAGCACCGTGGCTCCTTGAGGCCTGGCCGCTGGCACCTGCTTCCCAGCGTCTGTTACTCCTCCCTCTATCTCCTCCTCCTCCTCCTCCTCCTCCCTTCCCTCCCTCTCCTCCTCCTCGTTCCGCACACAACGAGGAGGGCAAGACGCCACCATCCGTGTAAGGGCACGCTCACACTAGGTACCCAAATTCCCAAAAAAATGGGAAAATGGGAACGGCCGTTTTGAGGAAATGTGGCCCTGGCCGGTCACACTGTGTTCCCAACACGCTAAAGACAAGGTCGCGATCGCTCTCTGCGAGGTGCTTGTGGAGGGCGCCGGTCACACGGTGCAATTGTTCAGTTTTTACAATCTGTTTTCTCCTTTCTTTTTTTTTTGGGTCGTCACTGCTGGCAACGGGTGTCCATACGAACCTCTCTGCTCGTGCTTCGCGCGTCTGACCGCTCCGTGCGTGCACCCATTTCCCCAAATTTCATTTACTTCAATTGATAGGCCGCTAATATCGTGGGGTTCCATTTTTTCTCCAATTTTGCACGGTAATTCAGAAAATGATTTGAGAATTTGCGGTAACCTCCGGAGGTCACCGCAAATTTCCTTCCCCCGCGGCTTCGCAGGCCGCTGACAAATGGTCACCCCTTTCGAGAATTCGGGCAGATGTTCACCATGTGTGACTGTCCGGGAACCCTTTTTTTGGGGGAAAATGGGGATTTGGTACCTAGTGTGAGCGTGCCCTAATTGGCGATCTGCTTGGAGTGCTCTCGAGAGTGCACATCCCAAGTGTGCATCTCGACATGTCAGAAGCACGACTTAGCTGTTTACCCTAGCCAATCAGATGTCCCACTCTTGACTCTGGGTCACCAGAATGGTGCTCGTATCTCCAGAAATCATCAAATCCTATCGCTTCTAATTGATTATGGCGGCCGCCTTTGAGCCACCTTCCCTACCACTACTCGAATTGCCTTCCCAAACGCGGCGCCCGACTCGCCCCGATGCGTAGAACGGGCCAGAATCGTCATCATGATGATTTCCGACACCCACAGCGCATGCGAGTCCGGTCACACGCGAAGTGGGGAACGACCAGACTCTCTGTAACGCCGATACAACGCTGTGATCGTCTGCATCGTAGCCGATGAGGACAACCGAACTCCGCCCCGCTCTCCCTCCCGCTCTCCTCTCCTATCCTATCCTCTCCTCTCCTCTCCCAGTCTCGGTTTGATTTTGAAATCATCGCCACAGTTAAACAGCTGCGCCGCACTTTGCCTCGAATCGTGGTGCCTGGTGCGTGCGTGCAATTTACCACACCCCCGCTTCTCGCACTTTCATCCGTCCGATCATCCGCACGTTCGACACCACATCTAGCGGCGACTGTCGACCTGCAACAATCCACCTCCTTGGGCCCCTATTTCCCCTCTCCCCCCCCCCCCCCCCCCCCCCCCCCCCCCCCCCCCCCCCCCCCCCCCCCCCGCTCCTTGACCGATCGCAGGTGGGCCGGCAAGCGGAGCCGGCAGAAGTCACTGTGTGCCCCACACCCCATTCGGCATCGCCACACCACTCTCGAAAATATGCAAGATGAGAACGAACTTGCTGTTAGAACATGGCCAGATGCACCCGCCACATTTTTGTCTTTTTCACATTTCAAGAGTGGTGTGGAGAAGCCCTTTGTTTGTTGTACAGGACTTCGCCAGGGCCGTGCCCGACTACCGGTCGGTAATGCCTGTCTGGTCGCCCGCGGCCGCCTGTTTTCTTTTCCCTTTTCTTTTTCCCCTTTTTTTGTTTTTTGTTTTGTCCCCTTCTTTTCTTTTTTCTTTTCTTTCTTTTTTTACAGTCCCCTTCACTTCATGTTAACGCGCGGCACCCTTGGGCGTGGTCCCACTAGCAAAGAGGATCGGATAGAAATTCTGAATCTCGCCATGCTGTATGCAGAGATACAGAAAAGCAGTTCGATCTCGATTTCCTGCTCCTGTCCTCGAACACGTCCAGATTCAGCCATTCAATCCGACGCTCTTTGCCATTGGGACCACGGCCGAGGTTATTCTGGACAGGGTTTTTTAATTTTTATTTTCACTTTTTGTCCGGCTTCGAACTCTACCCTTTATTTCAACTGCTTGTGGGTGTACCAATCCATTCCGTCCCTTTTCACAGGCTATACTCACACCAGGACTTTTTTTCACTCATCTTCGGCCGTGATTGCGGTCCGATGCATGCATCCGAAGCCGTAGTTTCGGTCAGATGCATCCAGAAAAGTTCTAGCGTGAGTTTGCACTTAGTCTATAACGTTACGCTTCGCTTTTGCCGCAGTTCAACATTCGATGCCTTTTCCACTTTTATTATGTACTATTATACTGTTATTATTATTGTTATTTATCGTTCCTTTTTGCTTCCGTATAATTCGTGCGTGTGTTTTTCTATTTCTCCATTTCCCGGACTCAACTCCATTGGCCTACTATTCTTTTTCTTTTTCTTCCTCCCTTTTTTTCCCCCCTATTTATTGTCCCATGTTCTCTATTCATTGTCCCATGTTCTCTTCACTTTCCACCATCCCTCAGTCTATTGTGCCATCATTTCATTCCTACCCTTGCAATCCCCTCTTCGTCATTGGCGCACAATCCGAAATGTTCCCGAGCGGAACTGCGGGCCCTGTTAATAAAAGTACAATTTCGTAAAAAAAAAAAAAAAAAAAAAAAAAACGAACTGCGGTCATTTGTCGCATCAAAACGCACTCAGTACTGAAAGCAATGGGCGAACTACAGTAGTAGTGCACGCTTTATCGGGCTGCACACGATCGCAGTTACGGCCAGTTTCGCTTACAACGCTTTTAGGCCCTACAGCAGTTGCACCACTCGCCATCCGCCAAGATTTCGAACGCATCTGGACACCATGATGTCCAGATGCAATCCAAATGTTGGCGGATGGCGAGTAGTGCCACGCGGCCCTTACTTTGGTCCCTCTCGAGCATGCCATCACTTCCACCGTAGATCAAACAAAACCACACCAAACAGACCAACCTGCCGACGAAAAGAGTCACCGCAGGTGGGCCTCCTCTATAGGCAGCTGCCCGTCATAATAGCGCGATCAAACTTCGGTCTTTGGTTGTTTCTCGTGTCTAATGCTGGCCGTCCGATGCTTTCTCACAGCCTCCACGCCAAGCAGAGCGCGCAAATCATTCTGACTGCATGATGACTACCGCGCCACATATGACAACACCCTGGTGAAACTGCTCGCGGCGGTCCGATCTCGCGCTCCGCCGGGCAATCGGCAGGTCACATGTCATGTTCCTTCCGCCTGCGACCGCGAAACTGGGAGACCGACGCTACCTCGCAGACACCGAAGGCACAAGGCGCGCCCATGTTTTTTTTTTTTTTTTGCGAATGCTTGTGATTTGTCCTTGCCGCTCAGTACATTTGGTGTTTTTTTTCGGGTGAAGTTTGGTTTCCTGCATTCGCCCAAACCCGCCTCCGAAACCAAAGGGGGGGGAGTAAAGAGGGGAGGAGGGGGGGGGGGGGGGGGGGTGGTTTTTTTAGGAGCGCATGCCGAAACAACACGTGGTGCGGACCGGACGGGGGGAAAGTTCTGTTGGGATGGGGGGGGGGGGGGGTGAGGAGGGGTTGGTGGAGGGGCAAAAAAAAAAAAGGGCGGTGAGTAGAAAGGCGCCGACAACCGGCGGCACAAGCTTCCGGCAACGCGATTCCTGGCAATTTTTTCGCGGACGTGGATCCCCACGCCCGCGTTCAACCGCTCGCCAAATATATTATATGTATGTGTGAATATGAAAAAGGTGAATGTATTGGGACACATTCTTAGGGTCTATACGGTTGCTGGTTTTATATTTGGAGAGTAGTAAAACTAGCCCCTCGCGGCGGGTCTAGGGAATCGGGGGATCCGGAGACGCCATCGCACCACCGTGGAAACTCGACCCCGACTGCGCAGACCCGAGTGAATAGGGTTCGGTTCGAGACCCGGTTCGTGCTTCGCTCCATACTGACATCACAGAGGGATGAGCACAGACGGCACGCGAACAGTGGGCTGTAGTGCGCCACTCGATTTCTCTGCAACGGCGGTTTCGATGGGTGCGCCAAAGACGTATCCTACGGGTGGTTAACGCGGTTAATTTATTAATAATTTAACACTGCCGATTAGCCCGCCCGTCCACGTTGATGGTGGCCTAGACCAGCGCGAACCAGGTCCGTTTCTGGAGGATCAGAAGAGCCTGCCTTGCATACGTGTGAGGACGGTAAATGATATGATAATGATAAGTACCATTCTTTTCTCCGGTTTTCTAACCAGAGATCCTTCATTACACCCCGGGGCTAGGTCCCACTTGCACGAATTATGAGATACTGACCGTAGATAGCAAAGATCAACGGCCCAAATCTCCTAATTTGCGCAAGTGGGACCTTGCCCCCGGCAAAGGACTTTTTCAAATGCCAATAGGCGTACTCAACCCCGTACTGTTGGGCCTTACGCGGACTCGGATGGCTGCGGTCATTTCATGCGGTTATGAGTGGTCGACGTCAACACCACAAGGGACTACTCAGCTCTGGCTACCCTGTTCCCAAGCACTGTGAGCCCTTGATCTCAAATTATCAACGATTGACTTACCGTGAGGGCACGGGTGCGCAGCCCGTAGTTTGTTTGTTGATGTGGTTCGGGAATGATAACGTAGTGATTATGCTGTATGTATGTTTTGTCATGTTCGCTATACACAACTCGAAGAGTGTGTGTGTGGGGGGTCCCGGTTGGTGCTTTATTCACGATGTTCATGGGATGTTGGACCCAGTTTCCAGCAGGTGGGGCTCCCCATCAATAGACAGGATAATGCGCGTGCATGTGTATGTGAGTGTGTGTGTGTGTGTGTGTGTGTGTGTGTGTG